TATATATATATATAGGCCACGATGTTCCGGCCAAAGTGCGAAATAATTGAAACGATATATTGAATATTTAACCCTAACAGCCTTCTATAATAATATAAATAATTCTTATAAATCTTCTAATTTAAAAATATAAGGAATAGAAGTTTTTAAATTGTCTATTGAATAATCATTAATTTAATAATCATTATTAAATTGTCTATTTAATTGTTTGCCCCTTTTGTTTTTTTTTAATTTAAAAGAATAAATAAATCTTCTAATTTAAAAATATAAATAAATAGACAAGTTTTAAAATTTAAAAAATTTAATTTTTTACTTTGTCTCAAATGAAATCAAGAAAATATTGGACATTGGCCGGAACTTCGCGATCTGGCCGGCCAATTTCCGAAATAAAAAAATTTCAGAGTTTGGCTAGCCAATTTACAGCGTTCTTATCCAATTAGCAATCTGGCCGACCAGATCGCGAATTGGCCGACTTCGAGCTTTGGCCGTAACATATGTATTTATTTGTGTGTGTGTGTGCGTGCGTGTGTGTAAGCAGAAACTACATATGTATAAAAAATTCAATGCTACACAGTTAAAGGATTTTTTATTTCACATTTTTAGGACTGTCATGCATTTTATCAATAGTCAACATTACATATAACAACAGTAGTATACATATATTTATTAACATACATCCATGTATACATACATTCATAAAAGCAGAATTAATAAAAAAAATTAATTTACGAATGATATTCGTGAAATTTAGTGAAGCTCATTTAAGCATATCTGGAAGAGAATGTGTCTGTAATAGAGGTAACATTTTGTTGAGGTTCGCGAAATATATTGATGCAGCGTCCCAATCTATTCCGAAATTCAGAGTTGAACTTTTCCTAAAAAAGAGCCAAATAATTTCATAATCTATAGTATATCAAGTATAAAATATGTATAAAGTATTCGTACAGTGCGGAAAATAAAAATTTGGAACTTCTTAAAAACCCTTTTTTTTATATTAATTGGATTTTCACGTATGCAACTTAAATTAAAATATTTGCCTTAATTAATTTGCATGTTTAAAGTTAGAACCTTAAGCGATTAAGATAACATCATGGTTTAAGGAATCTGATTATGAGAACCCAAGTATCTGATAATGAGGTCCTAAAATATTTAGGAGAAGGTGGTGCAATACCGGGAAGCTGAGATTCGAAGACTTGTTGGAGCTTAGCTGTTTGACCTTGAAGCTGTTAGATTTAACAAAGATATTCATTGTTTGGTTGTATACAATATATCATCCTTAAAAAGTCGTAAATATGCTATTTTTTGTAAATGAATTTTTTTTCAGAAAAAAGTTAAATCAAAAGTCAAACTAACTAATATGGTAAAACCGGGCACACCTGTTGACTCTCTGAGGAAATCAGAACTACTGGAATTTCAGTGAGAAACTAGCAGACATTTCGATTTTAAAAACAATTCAAAAAGATTATGAAAGTAATTTTTGTGCGATGTGGTCAAGATCGTTCAATTGGTTAAGAGAGGAAAGGGATAGCTGTCCCCAGGTCCAGAACTGCTAAGGTCCCGACAGAAATTCCATATTAAGTTATATTGTTTATTGTTTTTTCTTTATCTTTATATAAGACTACAATTTTGTTTTAGGGATCTATGTGGCATGGATATAATAGCTCTATTTAACATCAAACCAGGTTATGTGCCAGTATGACGATGCAGAAACTGCATCCAAGTTGGCAAAACGCTTTCTCCAGAGATACCACTAAACACACGTGTGGTCATTTTGTAGTTCTGCACAGACTTATATTTATTAACAACTCATTTCTATTCATGCGCCCAACTTTGACTTTGATCTCTCCACTGAAAGCACTCCTGTCTCGGACACTCCTTCAAAGATAACAAAGCACATATGTAACAGTCTGTGCCACTATCTACGTCTTCGAACTTTTAAATCCGAAATTTGTTGACTTGTAAACAACGTCAGTTCTCAACTCATTGCCTGGGAGGTCCCTTGTTGCCCTGCTGTTAGAGCACGTGGTCCACTGTACAACGTTTCGTATGCCCTTCTTGAACCCATATGTTGAATATTCTCTTGACAAAAAAAAAAGATCTTCAATCCATGTGAACAGCGATATTGTGCAATATGTAAATCGCAAACTAAGGCTATGCTAGTTCCTTGATCAGAACCAGGAGCGTATTGGTGAACCTTTTCTAAAGACTCTTTAGACGAAAACAACCGTTCAAATTCAAGCTACGTATGAGAAAAATGCTATGAACCCTATGTTGAAACGCATTTTCTATATTGCTTATGACCCAAAGTAAGTTACATCATTCTAAGACTCATTTATATAAGTAAATTACGAAATAAAGAAATATTTTACGGTTCGAAGAATTGTCTTAAATAATTTAAAAATACTTACCAATTAGTTTGAATCAAAAGTTTGCAAAACTAATAAAAATCATAATATTTTACATTATAATGCCTATCACTGTAAAAATTGTGATTCATATCATATTTCATATTTCTTAATAATTTGCATTTTCATAACACTTAATTTTGCATCCATAGAAAACATGCATAAAATATATAAACAGATAGGCAAGATATTTATTAGTGATTAAAATTACTCACGTTATAAATCGCATAGATAAAAGGATTATAACAGGAGTTACTCATAGCCAACCAGTGACAGCAAAACCATATAACATTGATGTATCTGTACCTAAATCATGATCAAACAGATATATTAAAACAAAACTGATTGAACATTTTTTAAAGTGAAACTGTCTGTAGTTTGAAATTTATATAATAGAGAGAGTCGAGCTATTGAGTTCGAACTCTCCATTCAAAAATATGTTTACTGATAAGTAGGTATTGGTTAAAAAATTAGTTTAAAATTTTATGTTTCTTGCATTAAATTTGGTATTAGAAGTATAAGAATTTATTTTATTTAATTAAAACAATGAGGCAAAATAATACTTTTTTTTTTGAAAAGTTTGGTTTAGATTTGAAACATCTTTAGAGGTATTGAGTAAGAAAATAGAAAATAGCATTTTATTAATTAGAAACGCTAATCAGAAATAGAAATAAAACAGAATCCTTTAATTTATATGCATTATTTTTCTTATTTTTAGTTACTTAATACCCAACTGAGAATGTCCTTGGAGGCATTAAATGAAATGAGCTTGCAATTAAGAATTAATCTAATATATATAATTCTCCTACGTGGCTCCCAAATTTTGACTGTATTTCTTTTCCGCCGGTGGCAACGTTTGCTTTGTTTTGTTTACGTTAAAACAAAAGTAGAAGCATTT